TTGAGGTTTAATTTACGTATAATCAAATTTTCTGATCTTAAGCATATAATTTGATTATTTTTGATCATGATCATATTTTAGAATACAGTAGAACTTCTGTAAGTTGACCACCAAGGGACTATAACAAACTGGTCAGGATACAGAGGTGGTCAACACAGGGAACGAAGCCTACTGTACTGATATGTACATGTCCAGTCAACAAAAATTAGGTCAACTTAGGAGGTGGTAAACTATGGAGGTTCTACTGTATTTCTCTTTTCCTTTTTTCTTTTCGTTTCTTTTTTTTATTCCATCACCTAGGCTAGAGTCCAGGGGCATGATCATAGATCACTGTAATCTAATACTCCTAGGCTCACATAATCCTCCTGCCTCAGCCGCTTGAATAGCTAGACATGTATGCCAACACACCCAATTAATTTTTCTTATTTTTTGTAGACATGAGGTCTTTATAAAATGTTGCCCAGGCTGGTCTTTAACTCCTGATCTCAGGTGCTCTTCCAGCCTCAATCCCCAAAGTGCTGGGATTACAGGTGCCAGCCATAGCACCCAGCCAGAATATGTCTTTCATCCCCTAAGAGTATCCTTATGTCTCACTCCAGTTAGTCCCTACCCCTGGCAACCACTGATTTACCTTCTTGTTTTGTAGTTTTACCTTTTCTAGAATTTCATGAAATCACACAGAAACTGATCTTTTGCACCTGGCTCCTCTCACTAAGGACTATGCTTTGGGATTCATTCGTGTTGTACATGTACTGGTAGTTTATTCCTATTTTATTACTAAGTAGTATCAAGTTGATTTTTGTCTGGATTTAGAAAAATATATTTGGGCCCTGTGAAAAAGCAAATAGATTTTTGTTGCCCTTTTGAAAAGCATGTCTTTTGGTGGGGGGGGGTTAAAACAACTTGAGTTTATTATTTTACAGTGCTGAGGTCAGAAGCCCACAGTGGCTTAAGTGAGATCAGATCAAGATGAAAAGCATGTCTTAATTTAAGGTAATCTAAGCATATATTTGAATCCTTTTTGTCTTTACCTGTTCCCTGAAATATAAGATCCTAGCCTACCTTAAAGCAAGATTTTAAATGCAAAAATTCTGAAACATTAGACAAGAAAATATGGATGTGGAGGGGATTTCCAGATAAGTAGCAAAATTAATTAACAACTTCCAAGTAAGTATCAGTAATCTGGTTGTAAACCTGGATTGGACCAAAAATTCCATAGAAGTTTACATTATGAGGCCAGGTGCAGTGGCTCACGTCTGTAATCCTAGCAGTCTGGGAGGCTAAGGCAGCTGGACTGCCTGAGTTCACAGGTTCGAAACCAGTCTGAGCCAGAGCGAGACCCCCACCTCCAGAAATAGCTGGGCATTGTGGTGGGCGCCTGTAGTCCCACCTACTTGGGAGGCTGAGGCAAGAGAATTGCTTGAGCCCAAGAATTTGAGGTTGCTGTGAGCTATGATGCCACCACACTCTACCAAGGGTGACAAAGTAAGACTCTGTCTCAAAAAAAAAAAAAAAAAGATGTTTATAATTACAATTCAATAATCAATTAATAGAAGGGTGGAAGTAAAAAACTCCCATCTTTTAGTAATTATAATATGGAAAAAAACTGGTGCTTAGTCAGTGATAATAGTAATAACGGCAATAACAATAATTATTATTACAGCTGCACAGGTATAGCGCATATTATGTGCCTGGTGCCGTTCTGAGCACTGGAAATGTTGTTCACTCATTTGATCTTCTCAACAACCCTACTAAGTAAATGTTCTATCATTATCCCCATTTTATAGATGAACAAATGAAGGATCAGAGAAAACTAAGTAATCTGCCTTGATGAAGGGTGAAGCCAAGATTTGGCCTTGGGAATCTGCTCCAGAGCTTGGACCACACTGGAGCATTTGTAACCCCAGCAATGCGCAGAGAAGAATCCTAAAATTGGTAAAGGAGTATGACATTGTCTCTGAGCGAGGTAAAGAATGAAGGGATCTGAGCCAGACGGGTTTTGTAGATGTGTGAAAAAGGTCAGAACACGGCAATACAAAGTGGTGGGACCTGAGAAAAATTGCATAGTGCCTGCCTTAAGGAATTTACATTTTTAAATGTACTGTTCACATAAATGTGGCTGCTGGTTTGTATGGTGCCCAGGAACCTGCTGCCCATTTGCTGCCCCTGGTCCAGGTGCCTTCTGGGGGTCCTTTCAGAGCTAACATCTTGGAAAAATTGAAGTATTTGTTTAGAGTCCTTTGTGACTTGGCTTTATTGATGTATGCCAGTCGCCTGTCATCTGACTGGGTTGTGATGGTCATGGATAGATAACCTTTCACTGCATGTTGAACTGTTTCATTATTGTGAATTTGTTTTTATATGGTGCTTTTTAATCTGACCTAACAAAGAATTAGGGATGGTGGAGCCAGATTGCCTGGTTTTGAATCTTGGCTTTGCTACTCTCTGGAGTAGAGTAAGATCAGATATAACCAGGTCCATGCACATTTGTGTTTTTCTACAAGGTCAGACAGTTATAGGTGCTTATTTAATCATAAAAGCCAAGAGCTACATGGAGTTCCCAAGAAGGAAATTCTTGTTAGCACCACTCATTCCTTGATAGTCATAGCCATGGGCAGGCAGGCTCAAGCCCATCCACAAGTCAATTAATACTATAAATCATCTATGTAATAGTAACACTTAACACAAGAGTAAAAAGTGCTCAGGAGTTCAAGACTAGCCCGAGCAAGAGCAGCATCTCTAGTAAAAATAGAAAAATCAGTCAGGCGTGGTGGTGTACCTGTAGAACCAGCTACTCAGGAGGCTGAAGTGGGGGGATCCTTGAGCCCAGGAGTTTGAGGTTGCAATGAGGTATGATCACGCTCCTGTGTGATATACTATATGCTATAGCTGGGGTGACAGAGTGACACTGTTCCAAAAAAAGAAAATAAGGAGAGAAAAAGGGATGAAAAGGGATTAACAAACCAGTCCAAGGACAGTGATATGGACAAGGAGAGTGTCCTGCGCTGATCCCAATAGTTGTCAATATATTGCAAGGAAAAATCCTTAATTTTCCCTGCAGAGACTTGGTGTGGCAGATGCAGGGCACCGATCACAAGTGGCAATAGGATGTTCTCCAGTGAGATGGTCATGCTGTACTGGCTAAATCCCTCTCTTATGTCCTCAGTCCTCTGGGTAGTGCGGATAATAAAGGGTGTGTGGGGCTTACACCCTGGTCTTGTTGGATGTAGTCTCTACTGATTAGTTGAACATCTAGTCTCCTTAACAATCATGCCTTTTAAAATGCAAGATGGAGTCTGTCTCTAAGATAGTGCCACTGATGTCAAGGGTGCTCTATGCAGCCACTTAGCAGCAGTGGGACTCTGAGCATATTACTTGATGTCTGTAAGCCTGTGTCCTCTCATCTGTAGAATCTCTAATTTATAGGGCTGTTTTGAAGATTAAAAGGTAAATATGGATAAAGGATTGATAGTAGTGATGGACAAATAGCACTATGTATGTGATTGCTGTTATTGGTATCACTGTCTAAAAGTGATGGCAGATGCAAATATATCTGTTCTAAATTTTGAGATATAATAAAGTGCACTAAAATGAAATTTACCTCTAAGGCTTTATTTTGTAGAGCCCTGTTCCTTATTCCTGCAAGACTGGGGTGAACTGCACAACATGGATGGAACTCAGGAATAGGATCCCAGCCTGCACGAGGCACCAACTACCAGGAGGGAAAATTCTAAATTTAAAGATCTAGTCTCTGGGAACTGAAAGGTTAGTAGTGACTGAATGCTCTCAATTTTGAGAGAGAAGAGTACTTATGCCCTTTGTTTGAATCCTAGGCAGAGTAGAAGAGAAGCCTGGGATGAGGAAGTTGGAGTTTCCTTTTTCTTCCTCATTTTTGGTTGCTGGAGTTTCTAGAGGAGGTGTAATTTAATAGCTAGTTAGCAGCGACCTTTCTTGCCCCTGTGGTTCTTGGGCACTGCATTCAGATTTCAGTTATTCCTAACACCAGGTTCATGCTCCCGGTTCTGTGCAAATCCATCCCTGGCCACCCCAATCAGCCCACACTGGTCTCCATAACATGCATAAACTAAATTTCTTACACCCTGTGGCCATTGCGTACGCTCGTACTGTTTGTGAGTTATCTTACGTTGTTATCATCTATTGAACAATCTAGAGAACATTCATTCAGTCAGCAAACACCTTTGTTGGGGACCCTGTGGGCCTTGATAATGGGAAGCAGGAGTGGTTGTTTTGGACGGAATGTCTCTATTTAAGCCCCTGGCTTAAATCACTTAGCAGCAAGCGAAACCTTCTCCTTGACAGCTGCATCTTTGAATCATTGACATCGGCTTCACCAGGGTTAGGGATAGTGTAGGTTATACCAAGACCCACAGTTGCCCTAGCACAGTGGATGATACTCACTGTTGGTGTCAACAACCATTTTCCATCTGGGTCCACAGAGAATGGAACAAGAAGTAAGTTCCACCATGCACAGGGTACCCACTCCAGATCCTTTTGTTCAATTCAACCAAATATTTATTAACCACCACCAGCAGGCTACATGCTGAGCTAGTTGTCAGGAATACAAAGTGACACCTGGGCTTCAGGGAAGCTGGGCAGTCAACAGGTAACTTGAGGAGGAGCTGGCCCAGGTGAGCAGGAGGTTCTAGGAATCCTTGGTCCTGCCTGGTGGTTGTGAGGGAAAGAATGAGGTTCAGTATTTGAGAGAGAGGCTGACCCTAAGTCAGAGGTGGAGAGGACCCCAACATGACTCTCAGACGCAATCGTCTTCCTTGATGTCTCTTAGGCCAGAGCTGATCAGGGCATATTTGAGAGTTAGCGTAGCTGAGGCTGGGCCTTCGGGTTTGAGGAAGGTGCTGGCTGCTAGCCGCCTTTATGAATTCTGTCCTAGACCACACTAGGAGAGAAGGAGGGATCTGGGGGATCTGGCACATTCCATGGGAAGGATCCCAGGGCCGCAGCCTCTGCGCCACGCCCTTGGCCCGGGCCAGGTGTGCGCCCTCCTCGGGGCAGGCGGAGCGGCGGCTGGGGCAGTCCACAGCTCGGCGTGTGCTGTGTGTTTGTCTGCCCCCGGAGGGCTGGGTCCTCCTTATTCACAGGTGAGTCACACCCTGAAACACGGGCTCTCTTCCTGTCAGGACTGAGTCAGGTAGAAGAGTCGATAAAACCACCTGATCAAGGAAAGAAAGGCACTGCGGAGCGCAGAGTGAGAACCCCGGGCGCCGCGCAGCGACCCCGCAGCGGAGCACCGCGGCCCGCCATGCCCGCGCTCCGGCTGAGCTGCTGGCTCTGCTTGGCGCTGCTGCTGCCTGCGGCGCGGGCCACCTCCGGGAGGGAAGGTGAGTCGGCTTCCAAGAGGAAGCGTCTCAGCCCTGGGCTGTGAACTTGCCTTTCTCTGCAGACTGTGATGGCTGAACGCACCTCTGAGGACCCCCACTTTGTCCACAACCTCTTTAGAGCTCCCTTCCTCTCCCCTGTCTAGGGGTTCTCCAGAGACTGGTTTAAAATAAGTGTCATAGTAGAAAGCGATCTGATTTTTAAGATGTGAAGCTGATGGATTGTGCCAAACCACGTTTTTCCTTACTTTAAACATGTTCCTTCTTGAGTTCCTGTTTAATCAGCAATACTTCGGTATATACATTCTTCTCCCAGCCCGTGTTTTTATTAAAGGATTTGGGGGAGAGTGTTTTCCATTAGTGTGAACACCACGAAGATCAAAAAAGAACCTCTTCAATAATCCTTCTGTAATTCACGTTTCATCTTTGGGATGGAACATGAGCCTAAGAGTATTAGCAAAACTCTTAACTTTGCATAATGTTACTTCTTGTAGTATTTTCGTGTGATTTTCATTCAACAAGCATTGATGGGGGCACCTACTGATGTATCACTTCATCTTATCCAGGGCATTCAGTGGCTGTCATGTGTGAGAACTTCAAGGAAGCACAACTTTCTGAGAACCTAGCAACTGTTTACTGTGTGTGTGTGTCAGCTATGACAACACATAACGGGGGTTTTGCTTGTCGCTTAGTTCTGCAGATATTTGCCTGTATAATTACCCTGAATTTTTATGCCTTTATTGCTTCTGCACCTGATGGCACTTTAATAATCATTTCAGTCAGGGCCAAGAGCCATTTCCACACATGTTCATGCATGAGTATGAGACAGTGCTCACATGCACAGGAGATTGTATTAGACATTCCATCTGTTATTGTGTAGTCTAGGGGTGCTGGCCTGAATTGGGTTTGAATGGCATGAATAATATTTGAGCATGTGTTGGAATGCATTCCTATAGACCTTTTTCCTAAAATAGTCTTGGAAGGAGCTTTCAAGCCATTATCTCTGACTACCATTTTAAAAACCAAGTATGAGTGCCACCAAAACAAAAAGGGTAACTGTGAAATAATGGCTATATTAATTTGCTTGACTATAGTAATAATTTCACTATACATAGTATAGCAAAACATAATGTTGTATACTTTAGATATATACGAACTAAAAACAGTATAAAAAAAAGTATGAAAATTGTTGTGTAGGGTATGTTCCCTTAGGCTTAGGATAAGTAGTCTTAGCCTAATGTAAAACACCCTAAAAGTAAGACTCATCTTCAAATATCAGCATTAAAAGAGACTATTCGTACTATGTAGAACAACTACTTAGAATCCCTTGATTTAAAAAAATGAGAAAATGGAAATGCGTTTGTTCAAGACCACACAGGCAGCTGTTGGCAGAGACAGAATTGGCACTTGATCCAGAGGTTCTTAGACTGGAACTTTTGTGACCATATTATAAAAGTAATAAGGGAACAAGATACATACTTTTTACTTGATAAGTAATTATTGAAGCATTTTTCTCCTTGTCGATGTGTGTCTTAGCATTAGGTAACACAAAATAAATATGTAAATAAATTTGGAGGATGTCATCAGTAGTTTAATGAGATCAGACGTAAGACGACAGAGCTGGGACCTTCACCGCTCCAAGATGGACTAGTTTCTGAGCAATCCATCTAGACCATGAAATCAGCAGTAGTGTTCAGTCTCATTTCCCAGCTTTCCCGTTGGAGACAGACTGCTTAAAGGTTTACATTCTGCCCTCAGAGGAGTTCTTTGGGGAGTTCAATGGGAATGTGAAAAGTTTAGTGTTAGGGGAGGGTGTGCATGCTTTCCCATTAACATTGGAATGTATTGGAAGTTGGACTGAAAGTAGGGTGCCTGCCATGTCTGAGAAACTGACCACGTATGAGGGTCCGATGGGCTGCCCGTGTGAGAGCCTAAAGCAGTGATGTTGCTTTCTGGTTGATCCCTTGCTACTGAAATTATGGTCACGGATAGAATCAGCAAGACTTTCAAGGTTGGTCTAAGCTAAACCACAGGCTTTAGGGGCAGCCTGACCTGGACTTGAATTTTAGCTCATTAAACTTGTGCTCGTTCATTTATTAGTTCCTTTCTAATAAACTTTCAGGCTCCTGACCTGCTTGGAGTTTGCTTCTTCATCAGTTAAATGGAGATAATCGTACTGTGCAAGCTTGTAGAGAAATGAAAAGGTTATTATAAAGTACCTTAAAATGCTTGGCACCCTATTTCTTTAAAAAGTCTAAAGCCAACAGTATGGGTATAGTAAATCCAGGTGTCCAGATATCAGTGAGAAAGACGAAGGCTCCCTGTCAGGAGCTTATAGGTCAATATGAAATAATAAGATAATGTGGCAGAAAGCTCCAGTGGTCTGGATCTCAATCCACAGGGCGGAGACATGGGCAGAGGAGGAGTGAGGAGATGGGAATGAGACTAGAAATGTAGCCACCAATCTAGATGTCAGACTGTACCCTGTGGGCAAAGATGACCTGTGGATGGTTTGTAAGCAGGAGGGAGCATGATTGATTCATGTTGCAGAAAGGTCACTCTCAAGGGCTCACAGGTTCCTGTAGTAATCCAAATGTGAGATGATGAAGGCTTTCATCTTGGTGGAAGAAACAGATTACAGGGACGTTTAGAAGGGAAAATCTAAAGAATTTGCTGATCCAGGGAGTGTATGGATGTGTGTTAGGGAATATGGGAAAACTGAGAAGAGTCCAGAATGGATTGAAGGGTTTGGGTTTGGTGAATTGGTTAAACAGCGATGCCATTTCAGGAAATGAGGATATAAAAGGAAGATCGGGTTTGGGAACAAGGTTGGGCGGTGGGTGGAGAGGAGGGAATGAGTTCCTGTGGGGACCTATTGAATTTGAGATGTACATGCGTGAAAATGGCCAAACATCCCAGTAAACAGCTGAAACTATGATTTTGAAGTTTGAAATATAAAGTTGGAAGCCCATAGGTAGAAAGCAAAGCCTTGACCACAGATGAGGTTACTCAGGATATAGAGGCAAAAGAAACCTTAACTTTTGAAAAGGAGATGAAGGAGCAATGAAGGATCGAACACTAGGGACAGAGGAGAATAAAGAAAAAGGAGTGCTTGTCAGCCAAAGGGAGAGTTGCAACAACATGGGAGTAGTAACTGGTATTCAGATATCCAAAAGTACGTACACAATGAATGAGGGCTACAGTGACACTCGGGTGAGTTTTGAAGCAATTATTCTTCTAGAATGGCGAATTCCAAATCCAAGATAATTATAGACCAATAATTTGGTTTCTCCTATACCCTGATCTTGGAAGAGAGGTACTGTGGATAATAGCAAGGATCCCTGAAAAGGTTTATGCTCCTTCATAGATTCTTTTTTTTTTTTTTTTGAGACAGAGCCTCAAGCTATTGCTCTGAGTAGAGTGCTGTAGCATCACGGCTCACAGCAACCTCCAACTCCTGGGCTCAAGTGATTCTCCAGCCTCCACCTCCCAAGTAGCTGGGATTATAGGCGCCTGCCACAACTCCTGGCTATTTTTTGGTTGCGGCTGTCATTGTTGTTTGGTGAACCCAAGATGGATTCAAACTCGCCAGTTCTAGCTGTCACCTTAGCCACTTAAGCCACAGGTGCCGAGCCATAGATTCTTTTATTTTTATTTATTTATTTATTTATTTTTTTGAGATGGAGCCTCAAGCTATCCCCCTGGGTAGAGTGCCATGGCATCACAGCTCACAGCAACCTCCAACTCCTGGGCTCAAGCGAGTCTCCTGCCTCAGCCTCCCAAGTAGCTGGGGCCACAGGTGCCCGCCACAATGCCTGGCCATTTTTTGGTTGCAGCCATCATTGTTGTTTGGTGGGCTGGGCTGGGGATTCGAACCCACCACCTTAGGTGTATGTGGCTGGCGCCTTAGCCGCTTGAGCCACAGGCGCCGAGCCAGATTCTTTTATTTAAGTAATCAAAGTGGCATAGCATCACGAATTAAAGTGCAGGCTGTGGAATAGGACTGCCAGGGTTCAAATCCTGGCCCCATCTTTTACCCTTGTAGGGCATTTACAGTGCTGGACTTGGGCAAGCTACTTCACCTGTTAGTTTCTGCATCTCTAAAATGAGGATAGTAAATCAATACCTGGTAAACACTCAATACATGTTCAATATTATTGTTATGGTTGTAACTAACTGCCCTGTCAGTACTGAATATTAGTATACCGCCTTGAGTTTTCAGTGGTAAAATTTTTGAAGTGTCTCTTTTTTACTCTCCTTTCATCAGCCCAAGAAAGGTGGTGAGGAACCCTTCAGCTCAGGCTGAAATGAGCCCCAAGTTTTATCCAATGAAACCAGTGGAATGCTTGACAAGGAACTCAAAGCAAGTTGGAATTTTAAGGTTAGATTTCATCACGCCCCAGACTTCATCACACACAGATTCAGCATATCTGTTGCTCTCTAGAACATGCCCAAATATGAGATGACCCTATATAAGGCAGCCTTGTACTTCCCTCATACCCCCAAAAGATTTGGACAACTTGATTATGATGACATTTAGCAATATGTAGTATCATAGTAGTCAAACGTCTCTTATACAGGGTGGCCATAAAGTTCATGTGCAATTTCACATGCACTTTGTGGCCACCCTGTATTTAATTTATTAAATTAGTCAGACAGATGCATTTAAAGTCACATATTTTATAAAATAATATACTAATTTAGAAGTATCAGTTTGTTTATTCACATCTCATAAGGTAATTATATTCGAACTCTTTCCGTTCATTTTTGGCATTCACTTGTCTGTCCTTCCCTTTGTCTTTTTTTTTTTTTTTT